AACTCAATTAAAAGATGGGAAAATGAGCTGAACAAAAATCTCTCTAAGGAAGACGTATGAACAGCCAAAAAGCATATGAGGAAATGCTCAACATCCCTCATCATAAGGGAGATGCAGATAAAAACCACAATGAGATACCACCTAACACCTGCCAGAATGGCAAAAATTAAGAATATAAAAAGTGATAAGTGTTGGCGGGGATGTGGTGAAGAGGGAACCCTCCTACACTGTTGGTGGGAATGTAAACTGGTTCAGCCACTGCGGAGAACAATATGGAAGTTCCTCAAAGATCTACAAATAGAACTACCATTTGATCCTGCAATCCCACTTCTGGGTATCTACCCAAAGGACAGGAGAACGCCCAGTCGGAAAAGTGCTTGCACATCAATGTTTATTGCAGCATTATTCACGATTGCCAAGACATGGAGCCAACCTAAATGTTCACAAACTGATGAATGGATTGAAAAAGTGTGGCATATATACTATATGGAATACTACTCAGCCATAAAAAAATAACAAGATCCTGGCATTAGATAGAAAGTGGTCAGATATGGAGGATCTGTTGCTGAGTGAAATAAGCCAGGCTATGAAAGAAAGATATTGTGTGTATCACTTAATATATACTGACTATCCGCACTCTATGGTAGAGAGCAAAAAATTGGAGGACATAAAAGCAGTGAAAATACTTAACAAGGATAAGACAGTGTGGAATGGCAGGTTGGTGAAGAGAAGAGGATAGAGAAAGATAGCAAAGAGGACAAATAGAGAGGCATGACATTAGTGGGACACAGATATGGCTTATTACCTGTTGATGAAGTGTATAGTATTCTCAACTGGATTGGTCTGAGAAGTATTTCATGATGGGTAAAGACTTTTTACAAGAAAAATAAGAAATAGTGATTGACTGGTTTAAAAAATAACTGGAATAATAATAATAATAATGATTGGAAAAACAATGAAAAGATATTGAATGCTGAAGTGGGGATTTTAATGTCTCAGTTGAAAAAGCAATGTAATACACTGTAGAGTTATATGCAATTCAATGTAATATAAACAAGATTACGGTAATAAATTAAAAAAAGAAATAAAGATCAGTTGAAAAAGCAATGTAATACACTGTAGAGTTATATGCAATTCAATGTAATATAAACAAGATTACGGTAATAAATTAAAAAAAGAAATAAAGATCTAGATTTTCTAATATAGAAGTAAAAAGATTCCTCTTCTTTCTCCAGTTTTTTTCTCTTAACTTTCTCTATTTTCATTTTTTAAAAATTGACATAGTTGGGACCAGCAGGTTGTGTGGTGGATAAGGTGCTGGACTCCCAAGTGGCTGACTGTGGTTCAAGTTCCAGACCTGGTGGCTTGCTTTCTCTCCTCTTTCTGTCTGTCTCTGGTCAAATTTAAAAAAAAAAAAAAATAATGGTACAATTAAATAAAGTAATTCCTTTTAAAAATTGGCATAGTGAGGCCAGCAGATGGCGGAGTGGTTAATGTGCTAGACTCCCATATGGCTGGCCATGGTTCAAGTCCTGGACCTTGTGGCTTAAAAATTATTCTGGGAGCATGTGCATGTATGCCCAAAGACCCAGGAGGAAAGTGGAGGAGAAGGAATTGTGGTGTGGCCAACCCTCCTGGAGGGTGATTTCTCACTTTCCCTCTCATTGTCTCCCTTTCTCTCTCTCTCTGGCAAATATAAGCACCCTATGGCAAAAACCTTAAAAAAAAAAAAAAAAAAGAAAGCATAGTGATCAGATCAGACCTGACAAATCCATGGAGTCATCAAGGTTCAGAGGAGAGAAGGGCTTTTTAAATTTTTTTTAAAAAAAGAGATTTTTGCTAGAGGGTATGTGCCTTTGCTGGAGAAACAGAGAGACAGCAAGAAATCATCCCCCTGAAGGAGGGGTGACCATGCCATGATTCAAGAAGGGCTTTTTTGATAGAAAGACTCTGTGAATCAAGATGTGGGTGTTATTTTCTTATTATGTGGGAAGCTTCACCTGGTGGTAAGATTTATAACATTTGTCTGTAAAATAACATGACTCCATTTGATGAGGAATTTGACTCTCATCTGAATTTTGAAAATGGGATTTCTATTATAGTTAATGGCTTATTTGGTTTGTTCTTGACCTCACCATTTCAGAACGTCTAGAGTGTCCTCTAACATGTATAAAATAAACAATTGCTGACCACTCGGGATACTTACTGGAAGCAAATCCACATTTGCAGACATTTTTTGTGCACTCAAAGCAGGAGCTTCAGGAAGGCAGAGCAGTGCTGCTGAAATCCTTTTCTTCATAGAGAGTGTGACCCAACCCCTCCAATTAGCATCAGCAGAAGTGGTCAGACCAGGGGCCCTGGGTGGACTGCAAAAAGCCCTCTAAAGCTATGGGCAAATGCTCCCAGGTATTTACTTAACTAACACCTGTGAGTCGGGACAAAGGAAAGTTTATAGGGTAGATCCTGCTAAGGGAACAAATGCCTAAGGAAATGGAGGAAGCTAATTAAGGAGCATAACCAGAAGCCTGCTGGGATTTCATTTCCTTAAGTGCTCCAGACAGTTGTGGGCAGCTGATTTACCAGGCTCTGCTGATGTCACCTTGTGGTCCTACTCTGGGTGCAAATCGCCAACAGATGTCAGCTCCTGGCATTTGCAAATACCTGTTGATACAGCATGGGTGATGGGACCTCCAATCCGAAGCCAAGGACTGTAGAAAATAGAGCACCAGGTTAAGCATGGAGGGAGCAGTCCTAGCCCAAGATTGTTAGGTAGATCAAAAATAACTTACATGGACATGAAATGTGAACACAGGCTACCACATATAGGGAAGTGTATCAGGGTGTCAGTGCATGCGGTAAAATGCACAGGAAGAAATTATACGGAATAGTAACAGAATGACCTAGAAGCCATAACATTGCCATCTCGGAGTTGTGGGGAAAGAGGGACCAGTGGAATTGGGACAGTCAGGAGTGTTGTTAAGATGAGGAATGACAGAGCACGCACTCTGTGTGTCTTACATAAAGTAAGCCAGGTCTGTGGAGTCCCGGTCTGCAGACAAACACGTTGTGCTGAGGGTGCAGAGAAAGGCAAGGGTCAAGTATGAGTTCAAGCTGGTCCTGACTGGGACTCAAACCTTTAATGGAGAACTCAAGCTGGGAAGAAACTACCATGCAGCTTTGCATTATATCCCAAATCATCATTAAAAGTGTTGTTCAGGGACCAGCAGATGGTATAATGGTTATGTTGTTGGACTCCCACGTAGTCTGCTGCAATTTTGAGTCCCGGATTTAGCAGCTTAAAACTCACGTGGTGTGTGTGTATGTGTGTGTGTATACATGCCCAAAATCCTGAGAGGAGAATGGGAGAGAAGGGTTTGTGGCGTGGCCATCCTCTTTGGGAGTGATTTCTTGCTTTCTGACTTTCTGTCTCTCTTTCTGCCTCTCTAGCGAGTGTACGCACCCCATAACAATAATAATAATAACAATAATAATAATATTTATAAATGAGATAAATCAGGCTCATGTGAACTGAGAGGTGTCCTGAATATCTTCTCAACTTCTTGTTAGGAATTTATCTCTTAAGGGAAAGACGTCTACATTGTATAACCTAAGATAGTTTCAGGGGATTGAAATACTGTGCTATAATGATATTTACAAGTCATCACAAATGAGTTGTCTGCTTAATTGCTAATTAATTACTTTAAATTTTTGCAATAGGGTGCATAAGATTGCTGGAGAGAGTCAGAGAGAGAGAAAGTCAGAATTCGTTCCCCGCCCCTCGGCGGGGGGAGGGGATGGACGTGCTGCAATGCCTTCTCCTCCATTCTCTTCCTGGGATTTTGGTCACATATGCATACGTGCCTGGTATGATTTTCAAGATACTGTGTCCAGGATTCAAACCACGGCCTTAACTAGTGCCTTAACCACCATGCCACCTGCTGGCTTCATCTATTTATTTTTATAATGAGGCAAACAGAGCTTTTGTTGGGGTAATAATTACTGAAGAAGGAAAACATATAGAATGCTTACAACCTGGGCTTTGGATACAGACAGACACAAATTTAAGTAGCTGCTTTGCTACTTTCTAGACTTTTTCTTCCCTGTGAAGTGAAGCTAATAACAGTTAGGGATTAAATGAGATTTATGCCTGTTTCTTTACAAGGTAAATCCTTGTTGAATGAGAACAAGTGGTTGATAAACAAAAT